CCACCCACCCCACTGGCCTCTCACACTGACCCCATCATCCCCCCCCACCCACCCAACTGGCTTCTCACACTGACCCCATCATCCCCCCCACCCACCCCACTGGCCCTCACACTGACCCCACCCCACTGGCCCTCACACTGACCCCACCCCACTGGCCCTCACAGTGACCCACCCACTGGCTGCCCTGGTGATAACCAGATCTTGGGAAGGACACTGCTGCCTGGTGATAACCAGATCTTGGGAAGGGACAGGAGAGAATGGCTTTATTGGGAGGAGGTGGATTCCTTGGGGACGCAGCGCTGGTGGCTGTTTATTTTTGCTGGCAGAGGCTGGGCACTAGGCCGCAGGCCTGGGCAGCGGGTCAGGCCGGCCCCAGGCTTGCTGAGCGCAGCAACACTACTCCATTGTTTGCTCCACTCCAGATGTGCATCTTCAGCTGCACAGCTGGGAACGTTCCAGAACAAACACTCTATCCAACCGAGGCTCACTCAGCACTGAAAATACTGTACATTCTTTTATATTCTGTGTATAAAATATAATGTGTATGTGAGAGAGCGTTGTGTGTGTGTGTGAGAGAGACTGTACAAGAGCGCGTGTGTTGTGTATGTGTGAGTGAGAGCATGTAACGAGAGAGTGTGTGTGTGAGAGAGAGACCATATGAGAGAAAGTGTACAAGAGACAGAGAGTGAGTGTGTAATAGGGAGAATGTGTCTGTGTGTGAATGAGGGAGAGTACAAGAGAGTATGTACAAGAGAGAGAGAGAATGGGTGTATGTGTGAATAAAAGAGAAAGAGAGCACGAGAGAGAGTATGTGTGAGTGAGTGAGTGAGTGAGTGAGAGCATACAATAGAGTGTGTATGAGAGTATGTGTGTGTAAACATTCGAATACACAGTCACTACACTTTACAGAAACATCCTGTCAAGGGCTTTGAGATGTCTCAACGATGTGATAAGGTGTAAGGCTTATTATGATTATTATTGTTTGAGTAGGATACCTGCGAGAGGCCGGGAGAGGAACAAAGGAAACAAAGGCTAACATTCTCCAGGTGAAACCCCAAATCCCCGCCCCAGCCATTCACACAGCCCACCCCCCCCCCCCAGCCTGTACCCCGTTTGCTTTTGTCAACAACAAAAACACATTGCATTTATACAGCGGCCTTCACATTGGGAGGACGTCCCAAGGTGCTGGACAGTGAAGGGTTTGCACCTGAGTGGTGGTAGGGGTAGGAGGGTGTCCGAAGGCATGGTCAAAGTGGAAGATCTTGAGACGGTTCTTGAAGGAGGCGAGAGAGGGGCTACGGGATAGAGTTTCGGAGGATGGGGGCAGAAAGGCTGAAGGCCTGACCGGCGATGATTGCGCGGGCTGGTCGGGGGACCAGCTAGTGCCTACTGTGCGGAGGGAGCGGACAGCTTGGTAAAGGTTAAGTGGATCACAGGTAGGGAGGAGCAAGGCCGTGGAGGGTTTTAAAGGTTAAAATGTCTCGTCAAAACATCTCAGTCATCCATGAACAGCAGCCAAACACGGTGTGGGTCCGACCACATTGGGCAACGCTCACAGGCACAGACAAAGCCGTGCAACCAGGAGATTTAAAAAAAGCTCCCCTTCTCTCTCCTCTCCCCCTGCCAGGTCAGGGGCAGCCCAAGCTGGCATCTGGACCTGGGCCGAGCCACTCTGCGCAATCTCTCTCTCTCTCTTTGATGTGAAAGATGCTGTAAATGGTTGTTTAATGAAATGTCTGTGTATATTGTGTGCGAGAGACACACAGACAGAGACGGCTTTATTCCCCCCCGTTTGCTGTAAGTGGTGCCCGAGGCGAGGGAGGAGAGGTTTACTGTCTGCCAGAAACATCCACACAATTTTAATATCCCTTCCCAGGCTTCCGTCAGGTGGTGCCCACTCCCACCCCCACCCCCGACATCACACATATATAGACCCCCACCACACACACAGACAGATACAGACTCCCACACACATCACAGACCCACACCTTCACAGACAGACACATACAAACACACAGACTCACCAGCCCCCCACAGTAAACTGTCTGCCTTCACTTAACCCGCCCCCCACCCAGTGATTGCCCTGTGAGTGTGAGCCACTGTTACACATCAAACAGCAGGATTGACTTTGCTGTCAGTCTGGTTCCTGTATCCTCACCAGTTTTACTGCCTCTGCCCCAGACAGCAATCTGCACAGTTACCTCAGTAACAGCCAGCCCCCTCACCCCCCCCCCCCCCGCCCCTCCCTCCCAGCCAGCCCTGAGCCCCCCCCCAGCCACACCATCGCATCAGGATAATGACAAGGGATTTAAATTAACTGCAAGTCACACTGGGCTGGTTTGTCTGCCCAGATGACAGCTCCTGCTGTTCAGGGACACCCAGGAACCCCACCCAGCATCAATGACACTTGTAACATTGGCAGCGAATCCCTACTCCCATCCCTTCCCATTGTGGAGTCCTGTAGCTCAGTGGTTAGAGCACTCGCTTTGCAAGTGAGAGACCTGAGTTCAATTCCAGGCAGAGGGCGAAACCTTGGGCAAGTTTCCTTACTCCACACAGAGCCTAATAATAATCCTCCAAAACCAAAAACAATAATAAATTGGTCATTTTCAATCTATGACTGTTTGTGGGACATTGCTGTGCGCAATTGGCTGCCGCGTTCGCCCACAAATATACAGTCAATTCACTTTACAGTGTGTTCTGTGAAGCGCTTTGGGATGTCCTCCCGACGTGAAAAGCGCTATATCAAATGCAAGGATTATTATTATTATTACAGAGGAGCCAGCCCGGTTTCTCCCGGGACACAACATCAATCCCCAATACTGCTACCCCCTCCTCAAACCCCCACATCCCCTAACCCCCTCCCCACCGTATTCCCTAACCCACTCCGTCTCTCGTCCCCAACCCCCCACCGCATCCCCTAGCCCCCCCTCCCCCTCTCGTCCCCTACTCCCGCGGACCTGCACTCACCACTCGCTGTGGCAACTCAATCAATTCAAATGCTTTGTCATTTAACAAGGAAGGCGAAGGGAAGCTTGTTACACAGAAGGCTAATAAGATTGTGGAATGTCCCACCACAAGCGGCTGTTGAAGCCAAATCCATAACAGTGTTTAAAAAGGAATGGGATAAATACTTGAGAAGCAATATTACATGGTAAATTATAATCCTATAATTGTTGCATTTGATACGGCGCCTTTCACACTGGAAGCACATCTCAAATCATTTCACAGGATTTACTGTAAAGTGAAGTGACTGTGTGTTTTGTAGTTAATTATGAACACATAGCTGTGAAGTGGATGATTGATTTTATCTGGGGGATTGTCAACTACAGCACTGGGAGAGAGGAACTCCCCTCCCTGGCAGAAGTGGGAGAGAGCAGGGAATGGGATTAAAGTAGAGACCCTCACCCTGTGTGACCTGCATTGATGCCAAATCTTCACTCATTTGGTGGTTTTGAGGGGTGGGAGGGTGAGGAGGTGCTCTCTGTCACATATTTATCAGCCTTTCATTTTAATTAAAAACTTTCCAAAGAGCTGGGAGCAGAAAAACGTTGCATTCCACAGCACATTCCCCTCTGCTCTCCTCTCTCTCTGACAAGCACAGCTGAGGAAATGGGGCTCGGTTGATGAAACAGCTCAGAGGCTTCAGGGAGTTTATGAAACAACTGAGCCGGTGAAGAGCTGCTGCGTGTTCAGGGCTGGCAGGAGGTCAGTCTTCATTGTCACCCGACAGGCACCGACAGGAGCCACGTTAGCAGCACTTGTGACAACATGGCTCTCCCCCAGTGCTGTGCTGGAGGGGCAGCCTGGACGGGGAACTTAATGCGTAGCCTGAACAACAACAACTTCTGTTTATATGGTGCCTCTCACAGAGGGTAGTATCCCAGAGCACTTGACAGTGAACCCACAACCTGGAACCCCGAGACGAGCTGTGAGAGAGCCCAAGCCCCAGCCCTCGGGAGCAAGAGACTGAGGTTGGGTCGCTGGTCTAGAGCTGAGCTCCTCACTGAGCCAGACTGTCAGACCGGAATCAGCAGATTATATAATCTCCCAGAACAACCGACACCCGGACTGCACTGCCTCAGGTACCTCCCTCCCCCCACGGAGCTCTCAGCCCCCCTCCCTGCAGGGCTCTCTGTCTGTGACACACGGCAGGAGCTCGGGCCGACCCACTCAGCCCTGCTCCCCCCCCACTCCCTCACACAAACACGTTCCATGCACGTGGAGAGAGTGGTGTTTGATGTTTAGTGTATAACAGGCAAGTTTACAGCGAAGATGCTTTTGGTAGCAGATACTTCGCTCACAATTTCAAAGCTTTATTGATCGCAGCACCAAAGGGAGTGTGTTCAAATCAGCAGTGTGTTTACCCTCTCTCTCCCCCCAGCAGTGTATTTCCCCCCCACACCCCCCACTAGAGATCTCTATGTTAATCCTATTTTACAATCTTCCTCTCTGAATGTGTATCTAATTCCCGTTTAAATGTTGTTTTGGTCTCGGCCTCAACAGACACTTGTGAGCACGTTCCCCGTGTAATCAGCCTGGATGTGAAATGCATCCCCCCACGTCCCCCTATCACTGACAGCCCTGAGCTCACAACCCTGTGACTTGCAACCAGCAGCAATCATCTCTCATTCTCTCTCGTCTCAACCTCTCAAGAGTCTGATAACCTTCATTATACCCTCTCTTAACCTTCTCTGCTCCAGCAAATATACACCACGCTCTCATCTTATCATGTAATATAACCTTCTCCCCTGGGGGTGAGGGGATAGCGACGAGGAAGATATCAGAGACATATTAAGACAGAATTTGAAGGTAGAGAGGGAGGGAGGCAGAGAGCAGAGGTATGTGGATGGCTGGGACACTGGGGTTAAGGAGACGGTAGATTAGTGTCAGTGTTTCATTAACAGCTTTGATCCGTTGCTGGGGAGATACTGATGAATTGTAAACTGTCCTGGTATCTTATCACCATCTTGTGTTTACTGCCGGCCTCTCTCTCTCACCTGTAACCTGCCATAGTGACACTAACAGCCCACAGGCCTTGGGCTCCGCTCTATGAACATAGTCTTTTCATCAAAGATCTTTCTCCAGATCTCTGGGTCCGTCTCTCTGCTGAGTGGATCAGATTGGATCAGTCCAGCCAAGTCCCAGCCTTCCTTTCTCACCCCCAGCAGTACGTCAGGAGCCAAGTTTGTGCTGTTTTGTAACATGTTCCTTGTGAGAACAATCACAAGTAAACCATTAGCAAACGCTTCAAATTTCACTCCTAAGGTCTTCAATTTGGGAATTGAGTTATATTTACAGCATCAGAACGAGGTCAGTCAGTGCTGTCAGTGCCCGGGACTGCCCAGACACCTTCATACAGTGTGGCTAATGCAGTCCAGCATATTCCATTGCACACACACCTCAACAAACACAGCAATGCGTGTGGAAGTTGCAATATATGCACCGAACATTAGCACAATGTTTCACAACCTGAAAGGGTGGTGGAGGCCAATTCGATAACAACTTTTAAAAACGCGGTGGACGGGTATTTGAGGAGGACGGGTTTGCAGGGTTATGGGGAAAGGGCTGGGGAGTGGGATTGCAAATGCATTTAAACAGCACTTTTCCGGTTGGGAAGTCATCACAAGGTGCTGGACAGTCAGGGATTTGTATCCAAGCTGGTGGTTGGGATCAGGAAGGTGGAGGGCAGGGATGGTGGAGGTAGGAGGGTGACTGAAGGCGCTGTCAAAGAAGAGAGTCTTGAGACGTGACTTGACTGAGGCAAGGTAGGAAGTGAGGCGAAGGGACTGTGGATGGAGTTCCAGAAGGTGGGGGAAGAGAGGTTGAAGGCCCAACCGCCAATGTTGGGGCGGGCGGAGACATGGGAGCACGCTGGAGCTTGCTGAGCAGAGGAAGTGGACAGGTCGGTATCATGTCTGTTGCATTGCATGCCCAGCCTACAGCACGTTGTATGTAAACTCTGCCCAGCACATTCCAGTCACCCTCTATTCATGTATGTAAAATAATTGTGACTCTAGTCCGGGTGGACTTGTGAGTAAGCGGCTGTGTTTAACCTTTGGGAGGGAAGGTGTGTGTCAAGCCCACATTGTGTGGCTCCTGGATTGGGGAGGGTCAGGGCTTTG